AAAAAAAAATTCTTCAATATTTTGTAAATGCCCTCATGATCATGTATTGACACAGCGATCTGGGTAACATAAACAAATTGAGCCTCTGCATGGGATGAGGAGTTTTTAACTTTTAGTGTCGTTTGGTGTGAGTAAAGTTGTTAATAGAAGTTTTTTTTTTTTTTTTTTCAAAGGTGCCAATTAGTCAAATCTCAAATGGGTTCAAAAATGTCAAAATCAGAGCTTAACTGGCTACTTCCAGTAGTGTTATTATTTTGTCTTGGGGTAGCACATGCTAGAGATCAGCTGACCCCATGGCCAAACACGGAACAGGGAAGCACATGGAAACATCACTCCGTTCAGGGCTCATTCAGTACCTCAAAAACCCTTGTACTTCCCCTTTCCTCTTTGGGTTAGGAGTTTCCTATTTTGGGAAATTATTCCCAAGCCTGAAAATTGCATTAGAATATTGCTGCAACGTTACGACCAGTTCATGCTTATGTCTCGTGAAATGAGTTGTTGATATCCAGATGCGTTTTGCTGGCTTATTTGAACTGTTGGGATATGGGAAATGGGCTCCGCTGTAATGCCAAGGTTTCTCGACTTGCATTGCATGAAAAAGTAAACATGGTTTCGTTCCGCAGAACGTGACAATTTCCCATTAAACACAACGTTAATACAAATGATTTAAGTGATTAAGTAGTAATTTCCTTTGAATGAAAGTAAAAAATCTTAAATTCGAATCATATGTTATATAAGTGGGATCAGTTAAAAAATAAAAAAGAAGTGCTTTCAATCCAATTATGCAACCCAAAATCAAAAGGAAGAATAAAGAGTACAAGCAAAACATTAATAGATTAGAAGTATACATGGCAAATGGGCCGGGCCATATACCTAGTCTCCCCCCTAGGAACTGAGGTAAAATCCAACCCATGATCGAATGACCAGTTTTGGACCCAAACCCAGGAAAAAAAGAGTGAGCATTTTCGATTTCAGGTTAATGAACTAAGAGGATTCTTACAAATCAAATATTACATATTTTGTGAAAATGAATCTTAAACCAAATTAATCTCATCATTTTTTTATCTTATTTTATTTTCTCCTAATTTTATTTTTCCATTTAAAATATTTCTGGTGATTCAACCAAGTCATTACTAATATAAACAAAAATAGAATTGCAAATAATTGATTCCATCCTAAATAAAAAATCATAGTTTTGCTCCTTACCCCAAGAGTTGCAGCTTGCATTGTGACGGTGTGCTTCACATCACCAACATGAAGATTGTGTTCTCCCAGTGGAATTCTTTGGACTCCTAAGTTATCCACTACATTTAGGTACTTGCACACATTTATCTTGATTCCCACCCGCTGCTGAGCCCCAGCTGGAACTTGCACTTTCTCAAAGGCTACCAGCTGCTTGTGGGGAACCCCATGCCCGAATGGTGGCTCAGAGAAGACAAGCAACGTGTGAGAGCCGTCCCTAGAACCAGTATTCTTAACGTCTACTTGAATACTTACTGATAGCTGATCACATTTTGCATGGCTAACCTTGATTGCCTTGTCATAAATAGTCAAGTTTCTAGAAGAGAGGCGGTCTTCAAAAGGCACCACCACAACAGTTGGTGCACTTGCTATAGTGTGAACAAAGTTGGTGTAACTCATTCCATACCCAAATGGGTACAACACAGGACCTTTGTAAAATCTGTAGGTTCTTCCAGGATAGCCTTTATTTAAACTTGACCGCATTGACATCTCTGTCATTGCCAAATTTGAAATGTACTCTTGTGGGTACCATGTCATTGGCAGCTTCCCTTCTGGATTAGTCGCTCCATACAATATATCAGCAATGGCCGCACCACCAGCTTGGCCTGGATACCCAACCCAAATAAAGGCAGAAATGTGTGGGCCATTCTGTGCAAAAGATACGTCAACAGGACCACCACACATCAAGACTACTATGGTAGGACCCTTGGAGGCCATGGCTACCTGGGACACAAGATCTTGTTGGAGCCCTGCTAAAAGCAGCCCTACCCTGTCTCTACCTTCTGTTTCGATAGATTGATCAAGCCCCATTACTAGAACTGTCGCATCTGCTTGGCATGCAGTGTCAATTGCCTCACCAAACAACTTATCATCCAAGCAAGCAACATTGGTGCATCCAGGTTGGTAAATAGTCTTCGTTAAGCTGCCAATTCCCTGGAGAGGAGTTGTGTATTGACATGGGACACCTAGAACACCCGCCAAGAGAAATTAGTAGAAAGTATAAGGAAAAATGCCTCATCATTAATTAAAGGGAAAGGAATTTGTCAATTTACCAGCATAGTTTCCAATCATGGTGTCAAGTCACATTGGAATTAGGCCCAATGATAGCAACAGTGCGATGATGGTGGGACAAAGGTAGAGAATGGCCGTTATTCTTTAGCAGAACAATGCCTTGTCTTGCAGCTTCCAGTGCAAGCTCTTGGTGAGACACAGTGCATACATCTCTCAATCCCAGGTTACCATACTGTTGTGCAGAAGGCTCACCATCAAACATGCCAAGTCTCATTTGGACAGCAAGTGTATTAGCCAGTGCATTGTTAACCTCAGCCTCACTCAACAAGTTCATGTTCACTGCATTCTGTGTGTGGAGTGCCAGTAAAGGCCCACATTCCAGGTCCACACCTGAAAATAATTCAACAAAATATCACTTTTATTACATTACCTTCTTTAAATTATTAAAATAATGGAAATTTCCCCAACATTCAAATGATTAATTAAAGAACACCTGCTTTAATGGCTGCAGCAGCTGCTTGCCTGCTTCTTCTGGGGTTGATGTATAATGCTGGTTATTGAAAAAGTTTGGAATGGCATCACAATCAGAAACAACATACCTGTGGACCATAAAGAGGAACCAAATAAAAGAGTGAACCATGGATTCACTTGATCAATCAACATGAAATGTGATGAACTTACCCATTTAAGGCCCATTCAGTCCGTACAGTCTTCTGTACGAGATTAGGATTGGCACAGGTAGGAATGCCATTAACCTGATTGTAAGAACACCTAATACTTGCTACATTGCCTTCAATTACACACATCTTGAATGGCACATTGAATGTGTGCTCAATGTCCTGTCTGCTTACCTGCTTATGTAAAAAAGGTTTGAAGTTTGGTCTTAGACTAAAATATGAGTGAAGAAAAAAATCAACTAATCAAGTAATTAATTGACCTTAGCATTGAAGTTGAAACTTTCAACTCCATTCCAGTTTTCGAGGTCATAGGCAGTAAAATGCTTGCAGCAAGCTGCAACCTTGAGGTGTTCACCATCATTTCCCTGAAGCCCTCTAACATAGCTGGCAGCATATTTGTCGGCCACCAATGGGTCCTCTCCTGGCGTCTCTTGCCCACACCCCCACCTCGGATCTCTGAATATGTTAACATTTGGGCTCCAGTAGGTAAGCCCTGCCACACCTCCATTGTACCTTGCTCTTGCTTCGTCTGATACAACTTGCACATCTGCTGGAATCAAGCCAGTCCCCAGGCATCAACATGCTAATATGTGCTTGCGCAGTTCATGTGATCGTGATTCTGTGTGCCAGTTGATGATTTAATTTCATTACATGACACATAAGTTGGATTGACTTCTACATGGTTTTCAAGATTTCAATTAACCATATTGGGGAAACTGTAGAAAATGAATAGACTATTATATTTCTTGTCATGTTTCCACAATGATATCCTATTTTCATTTAACTCATCATTGAATAAAAATATGCAAAATTGCGAGCCTTTATAAATATAGAAGAATTGGCAAAATTGTAGCTCCTTCACAAAAGGTTGAGAATAATACATATGCAAACTATCTATTTCCCCTTCTTTAGGTCTTAATGCTATGCTCAAACTTGTAATTTTGGCCATAATGATTTGACATGAATTGTAACATTAAAAGGGAAAAAGAAACCTGATTATTAAGTTTTTTGCTACCACAGTTTGTAACTACGCAATCCTTAAAATTGAATAACCAAACCTTCTAGAAAATCAATTATGAAGCTACGGAATTTATAACCATATATTTTTCTCTTTGGTAAATACCAATCTTTCACATTGGTTTTTAATTTATTGTACTAAAATGGTCTCATGGATAAATTTCAATGTACTCATTCTTACTAAATTTTAAAGGGTTTAACTGTAAAATTATATCCAAATAAATTACGACAAAAGTGATAATTAGAACATTCTAACATTTAAAATGCCTATGAAATTATTCAAACAGCCTCAATAAATCTTCCTTGCACACTGATTTACTACAGATATTTTAGTATTTTCATTATCATTTATGACAATTGAATTGCTTGAACGTCTTGATTTTCTGCAATCCCATAAATTATTATGGTATTTTCACTTCCATGATCATAACACCATAGCATTCTTAAGACTCAAAAGTCACCCAATTACAGTAATTTTAAGATAAACACAGCTAAAAAAAATTACTTTCCATAACCCCAATTACAGTCCTTAATTATTATCAACTAGAATTAACTCAATAGAGATGTTTATAGACAGAACAACGGTATATGAAATTTGCAGAGTCGAAAAGTGGTAGTAGAAGCTAGTTAGGCTGTAATTAAGCTGCAAATGATCATAATTAATTGATGAAAGGGAAAAATCTAACCCGTCCGATTGCTTCCCACAATGTGGAATTGAAAGAAGCGGCGGTGGTGATGACTTGAGGGAAGATAGTGGCACCAGGGAAGTCCCCGCCGAATTTTGTTCCAGGCCCAGAATTGGAGACGCCATGAAGAGCCTCCGACCACCACTCATACTCTTTAATTCCCAGCCGTGGCACCGCTGTTGCATTGTTTACGAGCAGCCTGACCTTCTCCTCCAAAGTCAACCTTCCCACCAGGTCCTTGACCCTCTCCGTTATCGGCAAAGTCTTCCGGCAGAACGGCATATTCACCGTCGCGGCATCAGTTGGATCGCAAGCGAACGGCTCCCTGGTGGAAGTTGCATCCGAAAGGAGAAGTAAGAGTAGAATAATGGGATACAAGGGTACGGCGGCGGTAGCCATTCCGTTACTGGAAAGAAAGAAGAAATGGGTGAATTGAGTGAAGGTCAGTTACTGCTTAGCGTTTCTAGAACCTTCCGGGCCATCTCAATGCCCCGACCGCCGGCATTCTTCCGGATTTCCTCTACTTTTCTGGTCAACTTTTTAGATCTCAGCTCTCTCCTTTTCCATTGTCATTTGTTTGTTTGTTATCCCTTTTTACTCTTTTGTTTAAAAATTCGAAATTGTTTGGACTGCACCACCAGCTTCGGCCAGGATATTTAGCCCAAACTATGACAAATATTTGGGTCATTCTTTGAGAAAAACACACCAATAGGCCCACCACATTTGGAAGCAGAAGCACCCCTTTTCTATTTAGTACCCGTTTGGTGTGGATGGAGTTTTTAATAGAAATTTTGTTAAAAAAAATTATTATAAAAGTGTTATTTTTGTAAATAAAAAGAAAAATAATGATAAAATAAAAATAATGTGTTAATTTGATTAAAATCCAAATGAGAAACTCTTACAGAAATACCAATTTAGTGCTTTTGAAATTTGTAATGAAATAAACAAAAAATTAACTTGTGAAAAGTTGTAGCATTTTTCACAAATTATAATATTTGCTGCAGCTGGAGCTTTTGGAGTCCAAAAAGACTTTCCATCAGCTGTACCAAGAAAATGCAAATGGAAGCAAAATGCTGAAATGATTTTTTGGATAATGATAAAAGGGACAAATTATATGAGACTAAATTTGGGATCAATCATATGATTTTTGTTATATTATTTAAAATATTAACAAGTGAATTTTATATAGTGTTTGTCTAATATATGCTCCTAGGGTGTAGGTTGGGTGTATTAAATACACCTTTTAATTATAAATTTGTATTGAAAAAATATAAATCAACTTTTAATTTATCAACTATTCAATTAAATTTTTCTTACACTAAATTTTATATTAATTTTTACATTTTTTTCATACACATTTATTATTAAAAAAATACTTTTAACTTGTATCTTAAAATTATAGATTATAAGAAATCCTTTTATATATTATTTAATAATAAACTCTTTTCAACTTATTAAAACTCCTAATATTAAATGTATCATTTAATTTAAAGACATAGTTTATATTACATCATTAGTCTCAACTTTTTGTCCCCTATATCACTATCCTTATTTTTTAAAACATTCTAAATTATTTTCTTAAAACTTTGAGAGTAATTGGTTACATTTCTTGGAACATCATTTCTAAGGACATCATTTGTAGGTTGGTTGAAATGAAATAATCATTAGTTGAAATGAAATATTCATAGTATAGGCTAATATTGGAAAAAGGTTGCTGAGCACAAAATAAATAGAAAAAGAAACTATTATAATATAGACTTCAAAAGTGTCATATTCATTCTACTCCTAAGCAAGACCAAGGTTGTTAGGGGTTTCCCTTAAAATAACCTCCAGGAGTTAAAAGTAATAGGCCTATCTTCTACTCCCTTAAAATGATTTGAAACCTTTCAAGATAGACTGCGTTGAAAAGATAGAAAAAAGCCCATAAAACCCTTTTGGAGCAATGAAACCTGGATTGTGGGTTAATGCTCACCTTTCTGCAATTTTTGGAGGCAGACAAAAATGATCATATTTAAGAATTTAGAATTTTACTAAAAGGTCCACTAACATTGAGGGAAAAGGAGGATTAGAAAACAATGGTACAATTCATGAAAAAAATGAACCATCCAACTAATTGGAGGGTGAAATTTGACAAATGTGATGCTTTCCATCTTCTTTTCTTTGCCACTAATTGAAACTCTATTTCTCTTCTTTTTCCCCTTTTCCCTTTTATTTTTTCTTTACTTTTTGTTGACTATGATCAAGTTTTTTACAAACTTGAAGTAAGAATATTTGAGTAGCATGGCTTTGATTTGCCATCTCGCAAAAAAATCGAGATTTTATTACCCATGAGCTGTGGCTTGAAGCGAAACGGTGTGCATAACATCACCAATGCGAAGATTGTGTTCACCCAAAGGAATTCTTCGAACTCCTGCTACATCCGCAATGCTTAAGAACTTGCACACATGGATACTGACTCCGACTCTCTGCTGTGCCCCAACTGGAACATGTACTTTCTCAAATGCAACCAATTGCTTGTGAGGAGCCCAAGGGCCAGCAGGGGGCTCGGAAAAGACTAGTAATGTGTGAGTGCCATCCTTGGACCCAACATTCTTCACGTTTACTTGAAGACCAAGTGATAACTTCTTGCATTTCGCGTGGTTGACCTTGATTGCCTTGTTAGAAAATGTGCAATTGCTGGAATGGTGGCAGCCATCAATAGGGACTTTCACCACAGTTGGTGCACTAGCAATGGCGGTAACGAAGTTGGTGTAACTCAACCCGTGCCCAAATGGGTACACCGTCGGACCTTTGTAAAATCGGTATGTTCTTCCTGGATAACCTTTAATTGAACTTGGTCGCATTGACATTTCTGTCATTGGCAAATTTGAAACATAGGCCTGTGGGTACCATGTCATAGGCAGCTTCCCTTCAGGATTTGTTGTTCCATACAATACATCTGCAATTGCTGCTCCCCCAGCCTGGCCCGGGTACCCTGCCCAGATAATGGCAGAAATCCGTGGATCATTTTTAGCAAATGACACATCAAGAGGCCCACCAGACATCAAGACCAATATGGTCGGACCCTTGGAGGCCATGGCTACTTGGGATATAAGATCTTGCTGGCGCCCTGGTAGAAGTAGTCCATTCCTGTCTTTGAATTCGGCCTCAATAGATTGGTCAAGTCCCATTATAAGAACCGTTGCATCTGCTTGGTGGGCAGCATTAATTGCCCCACCAAACAACTGGTTGTCAGAACAAGCTACATTAGCACAGCCAGGTTGATAAATTGTTCTAGCATAGCTCCCAATTCCTTGGAGAGGAGTTGTGTATCGACATGGAACACCTGAACATAAATAACCAATTTAGAAGAAAGGATATACAACAAACAGTCTAGTCTTGCAAAACACAAAAGGGAAGAGTCTACCCTATAATTAAGCAACCTTATGATATGATAGATTATGTTTTGTAGTTTGGTGCAATTTAAACTATAAAAATCATTTTTGAATATAAGGATTTAAGAATTTACCAGCATAGTTTCCAATCATGGTATCAGTGACATTGGAGTTAGGTCCAATGACTGCGACTGTGCGGTGACGAAGATGGGATAAGGGCAAAGGTGGGTTTTGGTTTTTGAGCAAAACAATGCCTTGTCTTGCGGCTTCCAGGGCAAGTTCTTGGTGAGCCGGGGTGCACACATCTCTTGGACCCAAGTTCCCATATACCTGTGCCGATGGCTCACCATCATACATGCCAAGTCTCATTTGGACAGCAAGCGTGTTAGACAATGCACCACTAACTTCAGCCTCACTCAACAAGCCCTTGTTCACAGCATCTTGAGTATGGACCGCCAAGAAAGGCCCACAATCTAGGTCCAAACCTAATAAACAACCCACCCAAAATATTACTTCTACAAATTCACACATTATTTAGTTATTTTTTAAAATTATTTAATTCAAATGATTAATTAGCAACCTGCTTTAATAGCATCTGCTGCTGCTTCCTCTGGGGTTGATGTGTAATGTTGGGTATCGTAATATACACCAACCGAATCACAATCTGAAACAATGTATCTGTGTCACATAAACACGAAACAATTAAAAGAATTAATCGTGAATTCACACATATATTAACAAACTAAATGTACCTCTAGTATTCTTAATAATTTATTTTTAAAAATAGCAAAAAGAATTTGTATCATACCCGTTTAGTCCCCACTGACCCCGAACTGTTCTCTTTAGGAGATTAGGATCAGCACAAGTGGGAATACCATTAACTTGATTGTAAGAACACATCACACTTGCTACGTTGCCGTCCATTACACACATCTTGAACGGCACATCGAAGGTATCCTCAATGTCCTGCTTTGTTACCTGCTCACGTGACAAAAGATGGAAAATTTTCAGAACACTTGCTAAGTTATCTGGAAAATGGAAAAAGTATTTTCCTTTTGGTTTTTCTTTTTATCATTTTCCTAAGAGCTTGTCTTTATGACTTTGTCCAATCAATTTTTTTAAAATGAAAATAACGCCAAAATTCATTAATTTTGACGTATAATCCTAGCATCCTACAATACCTATCCTTTCTAGTAACTAAATTTTATATTCCCTCCGCTTTTAGAATAATAATTTTTTTAAATTTTATTTTTAAATTAAAGATTTAGTGAGAATGTTTATTTTTATCTATTTTATCTCAAAAAAAAAAAGATATTTTTTTATGATACTATAATATAGATAATTAAAGTCAACAAATAATGACTAGGTTAAAATATAAAGAAAAAAATCTTTATCTTTAAAATATGAAAAAAAAAAGAGTATTATTTTGAAACAAATTTTAAATAAAAAATATTTATTAAATTATCTCAAATTAAAATTTTAATAAATATATTTTTTTATCATATATTTATATTAAAAAATAAAAAATGATTTCTCACTTATCAATTATCTAATTAAATTATTCATTTAATATTAATATTAATATTAATATTAATTTTTATAACTTTTTATACGTATCTATAATAAAAAAAATTAACTTATATTTTAAAAGTTTAAATTAAAAAAAAAATTAATGAGTGAAATTTTGAAAAAGATAGGTACCGTGTGATGGAAGAAGTACGTATATAGAATACAGCTAGCGCCGATTAGAGATTAAAGGAGAAATTGGCGGTGCAATTAATATTCCAAGTTGGATGACCAAACTCACTTGCCTAACTACCCAAACCGCCAGTACATCAATGAAAAAAATTAATGGTCTCTGAGAACATGATTGGATACGTATATGGGTCGACGTTCACTAAGATAGACAAAAAAAAAAAAGGTTTATTTAATTTCTGTAAGTACAAATTAAACTGTAATTATTATTAAAAAATATAAAAATTATCATTAATATCATGTGAATTTTTTTAATTAAATAATTATTTAAATAAAATTAATTTTTATTTTTTTATAATAATTAATAAAAAAATATAATAATTATATTTTTAATTTACACTCTGCACAAATTAAAAATTAAAAAAAAAAAAAAAAACCCAATTACCCACCTTAGCATTGAAGTGGAACCTATCGACGCCATTCCAATTATCGAGGTCATAGGCGGTGAAGTGCTTGCAGCAAGCCGCAACCTTGAGGCGATCACCTTTATTTCCCTGCAATCCTCTAACATAGCTTGCTGCATATACACCAGCCACCATCGGGTCCTCGCCGGGTGTCTCTTGGCCTCGACCCCACCTAGGGTCTCTGAAAATGTTCACATTCGGGCTCCAGTAGGTGAGTCCCCCTGCACCACCATTATACATAGCCCTTGCTTCATCTGACACAACCTGTGCGCATTCTGATGTTTGTTAGTCCCCACATAGATAACTACTAATTAAAATGAGCTGGACGCAAGTGGGGTGTGTGGCTGTGGGTGGATAATTGCTAGCTAGGTTCGTCCCACCAAAATCATATGCTTTACCTACCTCAACTTGATTTGATTTTAAAGTAAGGGATAAAGTAAAAAGAAATCTACTTTAATCTTTTTATCTTAAGTGCTTTATCATTAAACAAATTGAACTATGATAAGCTACTAATTATTCCATCCTTTAATATCTATTCAAAGCCTGATTTTAATAAAAAATGACAAATATTTGGGATAGAAGGTATACATTCTTTTTCATCATTGAAATGAGAGAAGTTAAAATTTCCACTAAAAATATATAATATTAGGGAAATATCTTGCATGGAATTTTGGTCCACGTGCATAAAATTTTCATTGGTCGGCAATTCGTCCCCACCTCTAAGAAGAGAATAGATTCTCAAATTCACAATGCAAAGCTTCCACGGCAAAAAATACTGTGATATATATAGAATATTAAAAAAGTTGAAAAAGTTTCTTTTTTGCGAAGCCATGACAAAAAGAAAACTCCATCTAATTATTAATTAGAAAGGTGTAAGTTAATTAAAATAATGAAATGGAGAAAAAGAATTTTAATAAATCTTACCCGTCCGATTGCTTCCCACAATGTAGCATTGAAAGATGCAGCGGTGGTGATGACTTGAGGGAAGCTAGTGGCGCCCGGAAAGTCACCACCAAACTTGACTCCAGGGCCAGTATTTGAGACGCCATGAAGTGCCTCTGACCACCACTCATACCCTTTGATCCCCAGCCTTGGGACTGCGGCGGCATTGTTTACTAGCAGCCTAACCTTCTCCTCCATCGTCAACCGTTCCAATAAGTCCTTCACCCTCTCTTGTATGGACAATGATGTCCGGCAGAAGGACAAGCCAGCTGTTGCGGCATCTCTTGGGTCGCAAGCAAATGGATCACGGGCCAAGGCTGTGCCCAAAATAAGAAGGAAGAGGTGAATGAGGGATGAGGGCACGGTGGCACTAGGCATTCCGTTTTGGGGAAAATGGAAAAAGATGGATACGTTGAGGATGCAGGAGTAGGCTTTAGAATGCAGAATATTTATAAGGTGAGGTTTCTTTTAAAAATTGAAATTGTGGTGTAAGGGAAACGGCTTTGATGATTATATGTCCTTCTTGTTCCTTACCTGAATAAATTAAGCAAACTGTTTTTTTTTTAAAAAAAAAAAAAAACAAAATTCCTTTTGGTAGTGGGATTGGAAATGTAAGTTGGGTGATTTAATTTTACATAATCTTGTGATGGACTGTAACATTATGCCTTTAATAGAAGAGGAGAGAACCCAATATTAAGACTTCCCATTTTAATAGTCCTAATATTACAATTTATTATAAGGTGGGTTATAACACACTTTTTCATTAATTTTATTAATAAAATGAATTTTTCTAACATTTACTTAATAAAAAGGAAATAAGTGAATTTGCTTGCCATTTCTTGGAGCTAGAAGCATTGTGCGTGCTAATTAAGGAAGGTTACATGTGGCAGATGATTATTGGTGGACTAATTGTTCCCACTAAAATGTTTGGTCACAAGCGTAAATTGCAAGGGAATTGTTGCTATAATCTGCGGTTGGGGTTAGATGATCTAATTGACTAATCAACTAGTGTAACAGAAAGTTTTCCAGCTTTGCTTATCTAATTTCTGGTAAGAGTGTACAACGTAGCACTATTTTAATTTTTTTAATGAAAATAAAAGATTTTAAATTTAAATTAAATAACATTTAATGATATAGATAAATTTCTTTTAATGGCTTTTTTATTTTTTGGTCAAGTTATGAAGAGTGAATCAAAACAACTAAAGAAGGAAACAGAAGATACCAGCAAGGAAAAGGAAACAGGAGATATCAGCAAGAAAAAGGAGTCTAGCTATCAACCATAAAGCTCAATTTAAGGATAAATTAAGCAACATTCCTAGCCATGATTTATGGCATACATTTAGGATCTAGACATATTCCTCTATATATATATACACTGATATATGCTTGAACAAAATTAACCAAAATTCAATACATACAGTATTCCAAAACTCTTTTCTTTTCTGGTTTTTCTTTATGGTATCAGAGCAGGTCACATTCTGCATCTGAATACTTTTGCCTTGTTTGATTAGTTTCTTTGTTTCTCTTTACAAATCAAAGAATCAGTTCACACCATAGCCTAAAACAAGAATACACTTACCATTCAAAGCTTCCACCAGATGGCAAGCTTGGTCTAGGTCAAGTTGTCAAGTACCAATTTCCTATTATGGAAATCACAAATTTATCCACTCATTAGGATTGCCCAACTAATGCATATCATCTTCAAGAAGAGGCTCCACCTAGCAATATTATCAAAGATGGTAAAAAGGAGTCAAACCCAACCTATGAAGTTTGGTTGAGTAATGACAGGCTACTAACTAGTTGGCTGCTTGGGATGATGAGTGAAAAGGCATTCAGCCTAGTTGTTGGGTGTGAAACAATTCTTCATATTTGGAATTGTCTAGAAGGCCATTATCTTGCCTCTTCGAAAGAACAAGAACTGCACCTCAGAGGGCAATTGGCAATCAAAAAAGGAGACAATGAATCACTTGAGGATTTCATAAGAAAATTCAAAGGGATCTATGACAATTTAGTTGCAATTCGCAAGCCTCTAGATGATCTTGGCAAAGTGTTCCAATTATCTAGAGTTGTTGGGACAAGGTATCAACCTTACAATTTGGCAGCATTATCAAAGGCACCTTATCCTACCTTTAGTCAATATACTGTCGGATTATTGAACAATGAAAGAGACATTCAAGTGGGAGAATAGGAAACCAAAGACAAGGTCCCACTGTATGCTCAGGTGTTTGTAGCTCAAAGAGGAAAAGGACAACGAGGTAGAGGATATAGTGGAAGAAATTTCAACTCAAAAGGAAGGAGCTTTGATCAAGCTAGGAATTACAACCAAAATTGGACTAGCAATAGCAAGAACAATCTAGTGAACACAAATCCAATACCTTAACAAACTTCTTCTCAAAAGGTTCAGTAGAAAAAGGTAATACACAAAGATGAATACTCATGTCAAATATGTGGCATTGCAGGGCATACAGCACTAAAATGCTAGTATAGATTTGATCATGCATACCAAAGTGAGGAATTGCCACAAGCACTAGCAAGTCTCACTATGATGAATGACAAAGATCTAAACTACTATGTGGACATTGGTGCTACAGACCATATGACTTTAGATTCAGGTAATCTTCTTTCTAAAAGAACTTATAATGGAAATCAAAAAGTATTTATAGGTGATGGCACTCCGCTTAATATCTCACATATTGGTACTACTTCTATTGGAAGATTAAAACTTAATGATGTTCTTGTAGTACCTAACCTTAAGAAAAATCTTATTTCAGTTAGTAAATGTATAGAAGAAAGCTCATACATCTTTGAATTCTCATATAATGGCTTTGTGATTAAGGACCAAATAACTCAAGAAATGGTGGCCAAAGGAACTAGGAAAGGTCAACTTTATGCACTTGAAGAGGAAGAAAAACAGAGGAAGAAAAACATGCTTTAGCTGTTATCTCAAATAAAGCTTCAAACTCCATTTGGCACCAAAGATTAGGACATCCTAATTCTAACGTCCTAAAAACCTTAGTTGCCAACAACAATATTGTTGTATCAAACTGGATCAAATCACCTCATTTATGTTTCAGTTGTCAAATAGGAAAGAGTTGTAAGCTACCTTTTACTAGAAATAATGAAAGAGCTGAATATTTGTTTCAAAAAGTACATAGTGACTTATGGGGTCCTTCTCCAATCCAGCCTATAAATCATTTTACTTATTATGTAATTGTTATAAATGATTACAGTAGGTATAATTGGTTTTATCCACTTCATAAGAAATCTGACTTCTTTAATCTGTTTCAAAAATTTCAAAGAATGATAGCAACTCAGTTTAACAAGAACATATAGGTATTTCAATGTGATGATGGTGGAGAATTTTCCAGCAAAACATTTGTTAACCACCTAGCTGAATGTGGCATAAAGCTCCAAGTATCTTGTCCTGGCACACCCAAGCAAAATGGGGTAGCCGAGAGGAAACATAAGAATATATTTAAAACAGGTTTGACAATGTTACTTCATGCCAATATGCCATCTCATTATTGGACTGATAGCTTCTCTACTGTAGTTTTTCTCATTAATAGAGTACCTACACTAGTGTTGAAAAACAAGAGTTCTTATTATACTCTTTATGGTCAAGTCCTTGATTATTCTATGCTAAAAGTGTTTGGCGGTCACTGTTTTCCATATCTTAGAGATTATACTACAAACAAACTTCAGCCTAGGTCTTTACCTTGTGTCTTTTTAGGCTATAGTCTAATTCATAAGGGGTATAAGTGTTTGCATCCTTCTACTCAACGTATATACATATCTAGACACGTTATCTTTGATGAAAACTTACTTTTGTATACTAATCTAACCAAAACATTAAGTGAAATTAGTACAGGTGGTGAGCTTTGCAAATATCTAGATGCAAATGAATGGCTACATACTTCCTCAAATTTACAACCTTCAAGCAAGCTAGATGAAACATCCGTGGATAAATCCAATTTTATGTTTGTTCCAAAATCCAAGGTTATTGATATAAGTACAGAAGAAGAACACAAAGCAGACCTTACCGTTGAGGAAAAAAAGGATCCAAGGCAAGTGGAACTTGAATGCTCAGCAAGCGTTGGTCATGACTCACGAGATAGCCATGACCAAGCAGAACATGACTCTCCTCTTAACTTCCTCTCAATCTAGGATAAACATTCAGGAAAACGAAGTGGTAGACTCATTGGCTTCAAAAACATTGAGTACTTCTCTAGCATTGAATTTGAGTCTTGGAAGGGTACCTTCACCACCCCATAATGCCACTTCAACATCAATTCACTCAATGACAAAAAGAACAAAATCATGGAAGCATACAGGACATGTTCAAACTAATTTCTCAAAAATTATAAATCATATGACTACAACTAACCCATCGTCTAATGCTGCAAGCCTAGACATTAAAGAGCCCAAATCAATTAGGAAAGCACTACAACTTCCACACTGGGTTAATGATATGAAGGAAAAGTTGGCTACACTTCACAAGAACAATACATGGACACTAGTCTCAGCACCTTCAGTGCAAACAAACATTGTAGGCTTTAAGTGGGAGTTCAAAACAAAACTAAATCCTAATGGAAGTGTGGAAAGGTTCAAGGCACAACTGGTAGCTAGAGGATATTCTTAAATACCTAGTGTGGACTTTGAAGAAACTGTCAACCCTGTTCTTAAGCCAACCACCCTTCGGTTAGTCATTGCTATTGCCACTACCTTGTCATGGCCACTCAAACAACTAGATGTCAAAAATGCCTTCCTGCATAGGACACTCAAAGAAGAGGTATACATGACCCAACCACCAGTTTTTGAAGATTTGACACACCCAGAATATGTGTGTGAGCTTAATAAGTCTATCTATGGTTTGAGGTAGGCTCCGAGAGCATGGTTTGATACTTTTACATTACAGCTCTTAAGAATGGGGTTCTATTGTAGTAGAGTAGATTCCTCCTTATTCATACTCCATATTGGTCACGACACTACCTTACTCTTATTATATGTTGATGACATAGTCCTAAGTGCAAGTTCAATGTCCTTGCTACAGGCGATAATTGATCATCTCAGCAGTCAATTTGCTCTCAAGGATCTCAGTTCACTTAGTTATTTTCTAGGCATTGAGGTTACTAAGTTCTCAAGAGGCACATTTTTATCACAGACTAAATATGCAAAAGACATTCTTACTTGAGCCTCCATGCTTGAAGCAACATCCATTGCTACTCCAATGGCTCTAAAAGACACTACCACGCCAAGGGACAGTGACCTTGTCGATGCACAAGAATATAAGAAACTTGTTGGCTCTCTACAATACTTAACAATTACTTGAATTGATATTTGTCATGCTATTAATCGAGCATGTCAATTTATGCAATAGCCTACTTTTGCTAATTTGCGTCAAGTCAAACGTATATTAAGAT